TGTTGAGGGTTGATTTTGTGAACCAGTATGTAATATATTCTGGAGACTGTTCCATGGGAACTCAAGAAGAATGTGTATTCCAATGCTTTAAGATGAAATATTCTGGATATATCTGTTAAGTCCATCTGGTTCAATATGTCATTCAAAGCCATTATTTCCTTATTTTCTGCTTGGATATCTGTCCATTGCTGTAAGTGGGTGTTAAAGTCCCCTACTATTATGGTATTATGATAAATTGTTTGTTTGTGGTTAATTGATTTATATTTGGGTGCTTTCAAGTTGGGGGTATAAATATTTACAAGTGTTAGATCTTCTTGGTGGATAGATTCCTTAATTATGGTATATTTCTCTTCTTCATCTCTTCTTACAGTCTTTCCTTTAAAATCTACTTTGATACAAGTATGGCTACTCCAGCTTTCTTTTGACATCCATTAGCATGATAGATGGATCTCCATTCCCTTCCTTTCAATCTGCAGGTATCTTTAGGGATAAAATGAGTCTTTTATATGCAGCATATATATGGCCCTTATTTTTTTTTTTTTTATACATTCCAATACCCTGTGTCTTTTGATTGGAGCATTTAGTTCGTTTACATTTAGAGTGATTATTGAAAGATATGAATTTAGTGCCATTGTGTTGCATGTAGAGTTGGTGCTTCTGGTGATGTTCTCTGGTCCTTTCTAGTCTTTGTTGTGTTTGGCCTTTCTTGTTTTGTTTTGCATTTTCTCCAGAGTCCTCCTTAAAATTTCCTGCAGCGATGGTTTAGTGGTCATGAATTCCTTTAGTATTTTTTTTTTTTTTTTTTTTTGGTCTAGGAAACCCTTTATCTCTCCTATTTTGAATGACAGCCTTGCTGGATAAGGAATTCTTGACTGCATATTTTTCTTTTTCAGCACGTTGAATATATCCTACCATTCCTTTCTACCCTGCTGAGTTGCTGTGGATAGGTCTGCTGCAAACCTAATCTGTCTTCCTTTGTAGGTTAAGGAATTTTTTTCCTATTGTTGCTTTCAAGATTCTTTCCTTGTCTGTGTATTTTTGTGAATTTGACTATGATATGGTTGGTGACGGCCAGTTTTTGTGGAATCTAATGATGCGAGTTCTCTGTGCTTCTTGGATTTTGATATCTGTGTCTTCCCCAGATTAGAAGAGTTTTGTACTATAATTTGCTCACATAAACTTTCTGTCCCTTTTTCTCTTTTCTTCTTCTGGGACTCCTATGATTTGAATATTATTCCTTTTTAATAAGTCACTGGGTTCTCTAAGTCTTGTATTGTTATCTTTGGACTTTCTTTCTTTTTTTCTGCTTCATTATTTTCCATAATTTTGTCTTCTATTTCAGTGATTCACTGCTCTGCTTTGTCCATCTTTGCCATCACCACATCCATTCAAGATTGCATCTTAGTTATAGCATTTTTTATTTTGGCCTGATTAGATTTTTCTTCTTTCATCTCTGCATAAAGGGATTCGCCAATGTCTTCTATACTTTTTTCAATCCCAGGTAATATTCTTACAATCATGGTTTTAAATTCTAGTGAGACATCTTACTCATATCTGTGTTGGTGAATTCTTCCATCTTGTCCTTTTGGAAGAAGAAAAAGATGAATAAAAGAAAAAAGAAATTAAAAAATAAAAAACAAAACAAAAAATCAAATAAAGGAAGTTAGAGCCTTAGGTGTGTTTCAGTCTGTTTGTTGAGGGAAGCTTGAAATACTAGACAAAAAAGAGAAAGGAAAAAAAAAGTTAAACAGTATTTAAAAATTAAAGAAAAATTTAAAGAAAATAGAATAAAGAAAAAATAGAAAAAATAAAGGAAAAAATAAAAAAAGAATTTGCCCTTTCTGTATCCAAGAAAGAGAAAGAAAAACAACATCAAAAACAGAAGCAAAGTAAACAAATAAACAGACCAGCAAACAGAATGAAACTCAAATGAAGTTATATCCAGTTTCCCCTAGAACTGAAACTGTGAGGCCCTCTATAATGCATACAGTAAGCAGATGGAGAACTTATCCTGGTCTTCTGGGGGATGTGTCTGGAGGGTGCAGGTGGGTGGGGCTTGGTGTAATGGCTCCGTTCTCCACAAGGTGGTGCTGCTTAGCTTACTGGGGTGGATCAGTGTGTGTGTGTGTGTGTGTGTGTGTGCGCGCGCGCGCGCGCGTGCACATGTGCTTGTGCAGGAGAGGTGGAAATGGCTTCACCCAGCAACCTAGTCTCTGGCACAGGAACTTTGTGCTCTCACTGACCCGGGATCAAGCACCCTTCCTTTGTCTGAGGCCTCCATCCATTCCCCACCTCTACCCTGTCTGTGTCCAAGCTGACCGCCTGCCAGGCAGCAGCACCTCCCTCCAGAGTTTTATCTCAGATGGGGCTGTTTCAACACCCCTAACTTCAGAGACCCCCGTGGCTTGGACTCTTGCCAACTCTCTGGGGGAGGGTATCACTGAGCAACGGCTGGGTACCAGCTTGCCCCAGAAAACGTTCATGCGATTGCACAGAAGCAGAGGTTCAGAGATTATGGCAAATCACAACACACAGCTGGCGCCGGGATTCACCACACTCTGACATCTTTGTTCCAGTACCAGCAAATGTGACTGCTCTCTGGAGTCTCCTGGGATCTTTGTGGGGAGGCCGTATGGCCTCTACCACATGCCCTCCAATCAGGGGAACCGCTTCTCCCCATGTGGCACATGGCCCCTTAGACTCTGCTGCCTGTTCCTGGGGATTCGCCCTGCTTCCTCACCAGAGCACCACCAGGCACTGGGTTGTGGAAGTTCAGACTCTCCTCCACTGTTTATAGAATCCTGTGGTATTGAAACCCTCTCCTTTCTTCCCGTCAATGGTTTTGGGTAACAGATTTCTTGTTCAGTCCCCTGTGAGTGTTTTCACTCTTTCTCTCCAGCTACCTTTTGGGGAAGTGCTTTTCTGGCATGGTACCAATGCAATGGACTCCCCCTTTCTTTTTTTTCCCTCTGTCCTCTCTCTGAGAAAAGGACTTCCTACCCTCTACGGCTTTTCTGTCCCCCAGTTCATCTCTCCACACAGCATACCTGCTGAGTTTTGTGGCTCAAGTTTTGCAGATTATTGTGTTATTCCTCAATTTCTTAGGTGTTCAAAATGGGTTGGTGCTGATGTAGCTGAGTTTCAGGGATGAGACAAGCTCAGGGTCCCCATACTACTCTGCCATCTTCTCAATAAGCCATTCTCAGTGTTGGAAATGTATTCTTAATTCCATTTGTGAATTGTTTATTGCAGCAAACAGAAATACAATTCAGCTAGTTATGTAAATTTCATACACTGTAACCTTGCTAAACGTGCTCTGTATTTGTTTCCTTATAATTTTCTACATGTAGTATCCTGTGATCTGAAAATAGTTTTACTTCTTCATTTCCAGTCTGCATGCCTTCTTTTTTCTTGCTGCCTTCTCTTGGTATACTCAGCAATACAATCTTACATGGAAATGGTGAGAGCCACATGCCTTTCAAAATTTAAAAAAAAAAAAAAAAAAAAAGAATTCTGAGATACTCTTGGGGCACCTGGGTGGCTCAGTCGGTTAAGTGTCCGACTTTGACTCAGGTCATGATCTCATGACTTATGGGTTTGAGCCCTGTATCAAGCTCTGTGCTGACAGCTCAGAGCCTGGATTGGATTTGTGTCTCCTGCTTTGGATTCTGTGTCTCCCTCTCTCTGCCCCTCTCCTGCTCGTGTTCTCTCTCAAAAATAAATATTAAAAAATTTTTAAATAAAAAAAAAATTCTGAGATACTCTTAACTCTGTGTGTTTCAGGTAAGGGATTGCAAATCTGTAGCAACTAACTTTTAAGGTTGTTAGGGTTAAATGAGAAACCACATAGAAGATGCTTAGTGTAATTCCTGACACAAATCAGTACCCTCATAAAATGTTGCTGTGTAGAAAGAGAATCTTGGCTGACCACTGGCAGACCAGCATTGGGAATCAGGACTTGACACTGGGGATGGGTGGTTGTCGGTGGCCTATAGTGGTAGGGGATGATCCACAGCAAGCGTCAGCATGGTTTTTGTCAGCCTCTTCAGGAATTTTTGGTGTTGTGAGAGCTCTGCCAAAGTACCTGAGGTTCAAAGTAGCCAAGCCCAGCACTCCCGTAGATATAGTGAAACAAGGTTTATAACGTGGAAGGAGTGGAGTTGTACCGAGGAACGACTGTTGTTGGGGCATGAGTAATATGAGGGGATTATTTGGGGCATATATTATATCAAAATTAAGAGAAAACCCTTCGTTATTTCCCTGCGCATTTCTATCATCTTCCTTGAAGGTTTATTCTAGAAGTTGTTCCACTGAGGGGCTGGAAATTTGGTAACGTAGGAATAAGCCGTGAGATGAGGAAGAGATAGCATGGGGAGGGAACAGGGTCAGGAGGGAGTCTTAGTGGCACCTTCAGCCTTGTTGGGATGTAGCACTTGTCTACTATGGAAGGTGACGGGTCCACGTGTAATGATTCAGTGCCACTGCCGACTTCCTCTAAGGAAAGCCGAGCATTGTGGCAGCCAGTAAAGGCCACGATCTCTTGTTGGTAATGCTGTCCTCACCAAACACTAACTTGGAGAATTGGAGATCCTCTGGTGGCATTAATTATTGCAAAGCTCCTACACCTGTCTTCATTCATTACTTTGACAAAAATCTAAGGGGCGCCTGGGTGGCGCAGTCGGTTAAGCGTCCGACTTCAGCCAGGTCACGATCTCGCGGTCCGTGAGTTCAAGCCCCGCGTCGGGCTCTGGGCTGATGGCTCGGAGCCTGGAGCCTGTTTCCGATTCTGTGTCTCCCTCTCTCTCTGCCCCTCCCCCGTTCATGCTCTGTCTCTCTCTGTCCCAAAAATAAATAAAAAACGTTGAAAAAAAAATTAAAAAAAAAAATCTAATAAAGTGATCAACATCCTTCATAGTTAGTGTATGGTATGCCAATAAAGATGTTAGAGTCCAACCAAGAAACTTTGGGGATTGTTGGATCTCACTAATCAAACAATTTAATTCCCAGTCTTTCTTTACCACTATGGGTGCTTTAATGACCAAGGTTCTGTGAGCTTTTAATCATGATCGTTATCACAATACTAAGATTGGCATTATACAGAAAAGGCCCCTATAGGCTGGCAGTGCTGCTTTAAAACACATTCAGTCATCAGAAAGTCACACAAAGGAGCTTCTTTATGTAAAAACCACAAGGCACACAAGGCAAATAGGTGATGGTGTCAAAAGGCATCGTGTTGTGTCCTTTCCTTCTCGTCAGGGTTTGCTCATTTGAATGTCCAAAGACAACGTTGCGAGCCGGTGGCGGTAGCCATGTGCTGACTGATGGCTCCATCACTGAAGCAACAGGTAGTTTTCAGAGGCACAGACCTGGTGCTGAGTGATGGAATCTAGAGAAAGAGAAAAGCAGTTTAGCATTTATAATGGCCAACCACACGGTAAAATAATAATCTTATATATATGCAAAGTCATATTTTAAAGTCTTAGGCGGTTTAGAGCCGTGTTGTCTATGTGTCCACATGCCCATATAGCACATGTGACTATTTAAAATAAAGGGGCGCCTGGGTGGCTCAGTCGTCTAAGGCTTCAACCCTTGGTTTCGGCTCACGTCATGATCTCACGCTTCGTGAGTTCAAGCCCCACGTCGGGCTCTGTGCTGATGGTGCAGATCTTGCTTGGGGTTCTCTCTCTTTGTTCCTCCCATACACACTCTCTCTCAAAATAAACTTTAAAATAAAATGAAAATTGAATTTAAAAAATTCAGTTCATCAGTCATACTAGCCACATTTTAAGTCCTCGACAGGCACCTATCCTGCAGATACAGCATATATAGGGTGTTCCCATCATGGCAGAACGTTCTATTAGCCGGGTGGCAAGTTTGCCAGTCCATGGCGGGAGAGACCAGGATTGTAATCTCCATTAGCTATAGAAAATACTCTCCGGCACAAGGCAATTTATATATAAATATATTAGTTTTAGTTACGGTACTAACTACACATTCTAGGCTGTGTATCTACCAATCCACAGCCCGTCTACCTCGCTAGTATACAAAGGTAGTACGCACAGTTTGTAAAACGCAGGTCTTCATATGTAAGTTGAAGAAGCTGGACTAGTCCTGTCAGCTTGAAAGCCTATTATTTTATGAAAATCACAAGAAGTCACCTGGTCCAGGATAAGCTATAGATGCAGAAGAACAGGCCAGCAGGAGACTATACTGCTCTAGGCCCTACTTCTATGAGGACGATAGAGGAATCCAATGGGTTGGCAGCACTGGTTGAATTACAAATTAAATTACAGTTAATGTGGTTTTTATAATTTATTTTTATTTCTTGAGCGAGAGAGTAGGGGAGGGACAGAGAGAGAGAGTGAGGGAATCCCAAGCAGACTCCATACTCAGTGAGTAGCCTGACATGACCCTGGGATCATGGCCTGAGCCAAAGTCGAATGCTTAACCGACTGAGCCACCCAGGTGCCCCTACAGTTCACTTATTGATTACAACTATTATCCACAGGGAGAGAGAAATGATACTGAAGGACCTTAAGACATCACGATGATGAACGATAGCAGACGGAAAGTCAAAACATAGGTTTAAACGTTCTATGAATAGGGGGAAAAGATGGAAGAAAAAGGGGCGCATCTTAGCTGGAGTTCTAGATCGTGTCCCAGAAGTTAGTCGTCATTTGCCCAGTGCAAACGCATTTCCACACAAGAGGTCTGAACTGGTCAGCTTTCAGCGGGGAGAAGCACTACGATTTGTCACATGTATAATATACATTATATATCATTAAAATTAATATATCCAGCAGAATAATAACAATTCTTATTAGTACTCAGTAAAACCACTTCTCTCCACAACCCAGTGAAGCAGTATTTTAATATCAGACCTTTATTCGTGGATGTGTTGTACATATTTTCTCTGTTATTCGCCTTTTGACTTTCCTGATGCAAAAAAGTGTTTTGTTTTTGCATTCAGATCATGTAAATCTTTTACTGCAGTTGGACTTTGAACCACAGGTAGAAAGCCTTTCTTTGTACCCAGTTTTAAAGCGTATCAGTCATATTTTTTTCCAGGTTGTAAAACCCTGTAGATTCAATTTTTACACTTAGATTTCTGACAGGATGTCATTTTCCAAAGCCAGAAAACATTACAAAAAGGGTGGTGATTTTTAAAATTAATCTAAAATAGAATTTAATGAAAAAAAATGCCACATATTTCTTTTAAAAAAAAGTGGCATACGTATTCTGACATTTATACCAAAGAAAAAATACATAAGAAGACAATTTTGAAAAAAATGAATAATGAGAGACAATTTGACATGCTAGATACCGAAACACATTATAAAATTACAATAGTAAAACAGTATGTAATTAGCACACAACAGATAAATAGACCAATGGGAAAGTCTGGAAACATGTCCACGCACATATAGGAATTTTAACAGGTGAGTCACAGGGCATTCCAAATCAGTGCAGAGGGGACAAGGTACTACATAGATGGTATGATCCCTTCACATCACACAATAAATAGGTTACAGATGAATTAACACTGTAAACATTTAAAAAAATGATGGAAGCATTAACAGAGATAAGAGACAGGTTCTGGAGCTCAGGGGGTAGAGATGACCTTCCAAAGTGAAACCCAAATTCAGGTGCCTCAGGAAATACGGCATTTGAATCCATGAAGAATGATAATTAAATATTAAAACATTTGTAACCCACAACAATCAATAAACAAAATTAAAAATGAGACAGATTGAAAGAATTTTACACTTAGACCACAAGGCGAGGGTCCATGTTATACACATATTCTGTAGAACAGCGTGAAAAGGAAAAATAGCCAGTGATAAGGATAGGTGACCCATGAAATATAGCTCCCTCTCTATTCATACTCATTAGTAATTGAGTAATTAGGGGACGACAAATTGAGTAATGACACCTATTTGTTTAATTTATCAGATCACCAAATATAAAAAATATGGGTAACGTCCAGTACTGGTGAAGATGTGGAGGAAATGGAGACGTCCATATGCTGTAAAAGTATAAAGTGGCACAGCCGTGGGTACCCAAACTTACAAGTACACGTAAGCGGGGGCACAGTGATGTCACTGCTATGAATCTGCTCTACACGAACATGCATGCCTGGGATTCGGCGGGGATAATTACAGCTCAAAATAATCTCTTAAAACTGAATTCAAACTCTCCCAGTTAGAACACACACATAAAGCGTACAATGGCAGAAACGGTGGAAATCACCCCAAACGTCCAATAATAAGGAGTGCGTGGCTTAACTGCACGTCTCCAATGGTTAGAAAGAAGTAGCTGTACGTGTGTAAAATGGAAGGCTCTCCTAGAGAGAGTCCAATAAAAACTCAAGGAACAATATGTAACCCTCCATTTATAGAAGAACCCTCAAGCAATACACAGGTTTATACACATTTATTTCTATTTAACTATGTCTAAAAAATCTAAAAAACACTCTTCCAGCTTTACTGTAGTATAAGGAAGGGTTGTAAGATCTGGGGACCCTATGTCTGTCTCTATTCCAGTTCTTTGACTGTGAAATCGAGCGTCACCCCACATATCCATGCATCCATTCATTCATTGTGGTGGAGAAAAAGGTTGACTAGAGAAGAAGTTTTAAATTTAGATAAAATAGAACCCTAAGTGTAACCTCACAACAAAGTCTGTGGCTGGCCCCTCACGCTTGGTGTGGTAGGCTCAATTAACCCATGGACTTTCGAGAAATGGTACTTGAGGTACATGCAGTGTTGAGCTTATGCGTATGGTAAGCAAAGCAGGGATTCAGAACGGAAAAGCATCTGACTGCTGAGTGATGGCTGGCAGCCAGGACATCCTTGTCCAGGGAGCCCCTCATGTTTCCAAGTTTCCAAATGTAAACACACACATGAAAAATGACTTCTACCCAAGTTCGTTTGTCATCTAAAGATAGTCACTCCCCTACTTCCAATGTCACATCATACAAATAGCCCTCAAACACCCCGTATAATGTAACCAATGGTACAGATGTTAGAGTAATGCCAGTCTGCCCAGCGGAAAGAGACAGATGGTACATGAGCACCTCCCATTAAATTTGCACTGAAAAAAAAAAAAAAAGACGTTGTGTTTGTATTTTAACAAGGTTTTTTAGCAGGTCTTGGCACAGGTTTATGCACGAGTTAAAGTTTACTGGCCTTTCTTCTGTGTGGTCTGATGATTAGGATAGTGAAGGAACATGCTGCTAGCTATTTTTTTATAGTGTGGTGGTGGGCAAGCCACTTTCTTGAACTAAAACTCTAATGGCCAACAGCCAAATGTGGTTAATGGTACTGTGCACAGAGAGTGCTAGAACCCTCAGAATGCTGTTGGGAGCTTTATCTTAGCTTATCACAATCAGCTGACTATTCCAGGGCTGAAGCATGAGTGGCCATGTGGCCAGACATTCACTCAATCAAGGAATCAGCTCTCCTCCTTAATAGAATGAGGGTCACTCAGCTTCCGGGAACACTCAGGACAGGGTTTTGACACTGAAGGTGCTCTTAGCAGTAGGGATGAGCAGGTTACAGATGACCCTAAAATCCTTTCTCCTAATGAGCCCACAGCTGCCCACTGTGTAATTTTCATCGGTTGATCTCACTTCTCTCTGGAACCACAATGAACAAGACTTCCTCCCCTCTTTTGATGGTAGTCTTGCCAGCTCCTCTTTTGGATGCTGAATAAACCACTTTTCCTTCAGTACTTCCTCAAGGATCCTGATCTCTCGAAACCTCAGCATTCTCTCAGATGCTCAAATTCCAGTCTAGAAGTCATCTTTGACTCCTCTTTCCTAATATATCACGTGCAATCTATCAGCAAGGCCAACTGGCTCTAGAATTTTTATTTAAAACCTGGCAGCTTCTCACCACCTTCAGTGATATCATCCTAAATGTAACCACCACCATTTATCACCCAAACCACTGCAAGAGCCTGTAACTGCTCTCTCTGCTTCTATTTAAAGATATGTATTCCCCTACTTAAAATCCTATGGTAACTTCCATTTATTTTTAGAACAAAAAAACTAAACTTCTCACCATGGTCTATGAGGGCCTTGAGTGGTCCAGCCTCTGGCTACTGCTCCAGCATCATTTCCAATCAGACACTCCATACTTAATGCCTCTCCTCCTTGTCTACCTTGATCCTAGCTGTTCCTTTGGTCTGAAAGGCCAGTGCTTTAGATCTACACGGGTCCACCCTTCTGTTCATCGTTGGGGTCTTACCTCAAATACAGCCCTTCCGCCAGGGCCAACCTCACTTTCACTATAAATACTCATACCCTGTTTTCTTCATAGCATTGATCACCAACAGGACTTAAAAAAAAATTATCTTCATTAGAATATAGGTCCCAGGGTGCCT